CGAAGGAATCCCACGTTGATGCTCTGCTTCTTCCCCACTATGATTATATCAGTGCTATTCTCTGAGGATGAAAGAAGTCCTCGCTCTTCTTATGAACTCCTCATCTTTCATAAAATCACTGTCCCTATTGGCCAAGAGTTCTTGTGAGTCACACCATTCAGAGGTCATATTTCTCCATGCTGAATAATTTATTTTTCCTGTCTTACGCTCTGCATCGGGGTCAGTTTCAAAGGTGATACAGCACATATCTCCACATGAGCCATTTAGCCATAAGCATAGAGAATAATATAAAGAAAACTGAAGTCTTTATTTGATCATATTGTCTGTAGACGGTTAGATGATTGGCAGTGTTTCCAATGAATTGTTTTCACCATAATGGATTTTGCGAGGATGTAAATGAGTTGTTTAACCTTGTTCCTTTCAGTATGTTATTTGAACGAAGGACTGTCATTGGATTCACAATTTAAATGAACCTTAATCCCTCTCCCTCTGTCTCCTTCAGGGTCCTTGTGGCTGTCAAATGACATTCCACAGCTGGTAATTAAGCCAGTTTATGCTTCACAACGTCAAACCTGAAGCCCCTATATATGTCTTTTTCAAGGACACCACCTCCAACTACCCTATTGACAGGGCCGTGACCCCACCTAAGTTCGTAGAGGCACTAATTAGGGCAACCTCCCTTGTGTCCGCACTGGAGGAATCAAGTTGCAGTGAATATGTCAGCAGTGGCCAAACTACTGCTGTGAAAGCCAAAGGCATTTTAATGCTGTGAAAGGCCTTTGCAAATATATCAGTTTGGCACACCTCAAACGTGACTGTGCTGCTAATTTGTTGATAGAAAACACTGGATGAAAAATGTTTATGGTTCTCTGGGATCATGCATCAGTGAACAGCAACTTGCTATTTTGTTTCCCGAAAACATGTTCATCCATTTCATGTTGTCTTGATTCTCTATTCTGAAACTATATTTATGCCCTAAACAGAGTGTTTAGATTAAACGGTTAAAAAGGTTTGTTGTAACACCTTATCAAAAATCGACTTGCTGTAGAGGGTTTTTAAGTTGGCTGTATCTTTCTTTGGAGATAAAACAACTTTATTGATGTTTCAAAGATCTGCATATTGGTGTCTGGGGGGTTTAAAAATGGCATATCGTGGAAAATCTCATTTTAAAAGTTAAAAGAGTTTGATATCCTGTGTATATTACATATCATTTATCTTTAGTGTTTAGCAACTGAACCCATCCAGTCTCTCTCTCTCTCTCTCTCTCTCTCTCTCTCTCTCTCTCTGTCTCTCAAGCCTTTTTAAACTTCAATTTTGTTTCAAGGTGACTTAAGTATTTTACAGTTTTTCTCAGTCACTTAATGGTGCATTTCTCAAATCATCCTTAAGATTTGCAAAGAAGTATCTGCATTCTCAAAACAATTCGTGCAAACAACACGACACATTGGAATACATGCAAAAGCCTGTAACTTACTCAAAAATTGAGTTCAAGTATTTATATCAATTAACATATCACTGCTATCAGAATGAAAAGTCATTGTGTCATTGTTCACAAACAAGATAGTCAAAATGCTTAGTCACTGCAGAGGCGGACAGAGTACACAGCTTTATTACTTGAGTAAAAGTACAGATACCCCTTGCTAAATAAGACTATTGCACAGAATACATTTTGAGCAACATGACATTAGCAACTGATAATGTAGGAAACCGCACGCAACTGTACATAATCAATTGCATGAATGTACCAAAGAAAGAGAAACTTCTTTTATGATGTGCACTACAAGTGACTAGATAATGTGGAGGTTGAGAATTTAATTTCTGATTTGAGAAATGCACCAAAGCAACTGAGAACAAATAAACTACAGCTTTAAACACTTGTTTCAGCGGCTTTAGTCTCTGAATCTGAATCATATCGAGATTGATTACAAGAGAGTTTCAGGCATTAAACTTTATGAAAAAGTTGCAGTTAAATATAGGACCTCAAGAACATGTACGAGTGCATTATCCCAGAGTGTGTGGAAAGATTGAACACCCAGTTTGTCCCAGTTTGGTCAGCTCGCCTATGGGCATGGGGTGTACAGTAGGACTTCAGAAGACTGTGTATGACTCTCTCCACCCACTCGCTGACTCCTGCCCATGCACCGGGGCTGATTAATCTCCATTTCCACTGCAGAGCATGGAGGAGTGTAGAGGGGATATCACATGCTCTCACTTATTCCCTGCATTAATACAGTGGGCGTGGGTCACCTCGCTGAGGAGTCTGTAGACGCTTTCTTTATCTCTCTATTCTCAGCCCACGTTCTGAATCAGCTTTCAGGGCTACAGAGGTTCCTCTCTTCCAGCAACTTTTGTTTCTGCTGAATATTATAAATAAACCTCAAACACACCTCTCGATAGGATGGGAGGTTTTGAGGGATTTTTACAGGTTTTACACTGAATGGGTGGCCTCTCAAATATTTGCCTTATTTTTCTTCCAGGCATTTAAGTTTCCAGCTGGACTTTTACGACTTTTCCTCAGGGAAGGATGCGTGTTATGTGGCATAATATTTATTTTTTTTGTCTGTAAGGAAGAAAATTGAGATCTTTTGAATTTCTCTGTTTCTATTAGACAGCAATTCTGTTACATAGAGAGCACTGTACTCTCTCTGTATGTCTAATTTGGCTGTGTTTTACTCATCTGGTTCTATAAGAAGCACTTGAGATAAAGTCAGTACTTCCGATTTTGCCGTTTTAAACGATGTAGGCATCACAATGGAACAAATGGATCAAATTATGTCTCGCATTTATGTTGCATGTCGCATGACAAGAACAGCACAATATGTCAGCCTGTAATGTGAACATATGTTCATACTGCCGTTTGTTGACACAATCAAGTATTTATATCCAATAGCGCATTTAGTGTGAATAGAGGCAAGAGGCCAAAAAAAAAACTGCTGAAAAATGTCTGTTTATTTGAAAAGAAAAAGACTAAAATACTAAGTTTTTAATGGTCTTAACCACAAATTATTGGCTCAATTTAAGCAAATTAAAAAGCGCTACTTAAAAAGCCATTGATGTCTCAGAAAAACATCAAAGACAGAATTAAGTTTTTGGCAGAATATGGGAAGTTGTGTGTGGAGTGATGAAGGAAGCCCGAGTTGCATGGTGATGCTCTAGTGCAGTGTCTTCGAAAATCTGTCGAGAAATATAATAATAAATGCGTCTCTACCACATTGAAGCATGGATGAAGAGCTGTCGTTGTGTTGCGAGCCTTTGTCGGGGGCCAGTTCTCCTCTGGCCAACGAGCGAACAGTGTATGATTATGATTCAGGCAACATTACAGGTCAGAAGTCTGATTGGATCAGAATATTCACATTATGTTACATCTGATTGGAAGTTGGAGTCATCACATCAGTATAGAGACGAGTTTGTTGAGGTGTCCATGAGGTCTTCACAGGGCTGATGAGGCTGGCACTTGCGTTGTGGTCGTGTCCAGGCGCAGGTTCACCGTCTGATCTGGATACGGCCCGGATCCGGCTGACTTTAGTAAACCTCGAAAATAAATGGAAAGACAAACATTAGCGTAGATGCCATCCTTCGTATGATGTAATGAGTACACACTGTAAAAAATATTTTCAAGATTTGTTATCACAACATATTTTCTTTTGTCAAATCAACTTTATAATAATTTATTTAGTTGAGATAACTTATTATTTTGAGTTTCTGATGGTTAAATTAATCTACTTCATTGTATTAACTCACTTTTTCCAGTTCAATCAACTTAAAATTTTAAGGCAACCCAGGTTACTTACTTTTTTAAGTTAAACCAACAATATTTTTTATAGTGTAGTAATCACAACATTTTTTCTTTTGTCAAATCAACTTAATTTATTTAGTTCAGATAACATATAATTTTGAGTTTCTGATGGTTAAATTAATCTACTTCATTGTATTAACTCACTTTTTCCAGTTCAATGAACTTAAAATTTTAAGGCAACCAGGTTACTTACTTTTTAAGTTAAACCATCAATATTTTTTTACAGTGCATCGGGTATTGTAGGAAGTATCCCCGGTTTCGGCTGACCTAATTTATGCAGCCTAAAAATCACTTAAGTTTAACTTATTTGAATAATAGAAATGTATAATGTTCTATGTGAATGCCAGTGTTTTTAGTCTAGATTTAGATTAGTCTCTGTATCGTCTGCTATATTTTCTGAAGCCCATGGTAATAATATAACACTAAAATGATGCTGTTGTAATTGCATTCCATTCAAATAATACCCTTCATTTCTTAATCAGAATAACTGCATATTATCCAGCACAGCATTTACATTTCTTTTGTACCTTTACACACTCTTTCTTCTTACATTCTCAGTACTCTCCCTTGCGGTTTCTTCTTCCAATAACACAGAAATGTTTTTAGCTTTAGCCCTGGAGGTAAACTACTGCTACAGGAGTTTTTTGACATAATCAGCACAATAAAATCTGCCTTGTTAAAGATGATAAAATAGAGTTTTCAACCCAGACGGTGAGAAAATGTGCACTGATCTCTGCAAAAGCATATAGCATAGCACTGCAGCACAGTATTATGAACTGAAATCCAGTAATGTTGCATAACAGCATTCATCCCCCATGTAACAAATTCCCTTGGATCCCTTGCTTCGATCTACTCCTCTCTATTATTCTTTATGGATTTATGTGGGTTTTACTGTTCTCTCAATATGCAGATTGCAGCGCTTAAAGATATAGTTCACCCAAAAATGAAAATGTTGTCATTATTTACTCATGTCGGTAATCAGAGAGTTGTCACGATCACCTGTCACCTCAGCACTTCATTTCCCATAATCCACCTGCACATGCCATCTATTACCCTCATCAGCTCCACACCATAAAAGCCTGCACCACACTCTTCTTCTGGCTCTGGTCTTTGACTAGGACTACCAGCGATTCTGATGATGTTCTTTCTTGAGATACTGATCCCTATGTGCTTCCCGTCTCCAATCCCATCTGATTTATTTTTCAGTCAGTTCTCCAGGAATCTGTAAGAGAGAAATATATCCTTTACCCAAATTATCAGTGAATCTATTGTGTGTGTGTGTGTGTGTGCTTGTGGTGGAACATACCTTTGTTGGACTGATCCATCTTCGTCTTCATCCTCCTAGTCTTCATTTGCCTGCAAATACTCACTTTAACGTTATCCTGTTTAGAAATAAACTTAATTGTTGTTATTCACTGTGTTTTCCTGACAACAGTTGACGGCAGCCATTGACTTCCATAGTATTTATTTTTCCTTGGGAAATCAATGGGGCCTAAAATAGTTTTTGCGTTCAAAAGAAACACATTCAGGTTTGGAACAACCTTTTGGTGAGTAAATGATGACAGAATTTTAATTTTGGGGGTAATTATCCCTTTAACCAACACTGTTTATTTAAACTTTCCAACCAGCCCGATGCAGCAATAATGGTTTAAGCAATTAGCTTGAGTTTAGGGAGAATGTTCTGAAATCACTATCACTATTTCTGCAGTTCCGTTGGCTCAGATATTTATCCTAAAAATTCCTTTGTGCAACTAATATGGAAACAAATTAGACATTTGCTGACATGCAGTACAGTGTGAGTACAGAGTTAGAATATTAATACAGTCCTGGGATAATTTGATTAGAAATTTGCATCTCATTATACTTTTGAATATTTGATCTCTTGGTAAAAATAAGCACAGTTTGAGACATTGACTTTTTTTCTGAAGGGCTAAACTAGATGCATGTGACATTTTTTCTTGGGAAAAAAATCTCAGAAGCAGGAAGCTAAAAGTCTGCTCTTTTACCTCTTCCTGGCAGATTCGTAAAATCTTTCGTTGATGGGAACTTCTTCATCATTGCCCTGATGCACAAAATGGGGATTTTCTCTTTACTATTTTCTTCCACTTTCTATTTTGTGATGCTCAACAATCTTTTGATGCACATCAGAACTAAATTCTTTGGTTTTACGCAGTGTGATGGATGATTAAGGCAATATGGCCTTTGTGTTTCCTCATATTTAAACTCCTTTGAAACAAAAAGTCATAGGCGGACAATTTCATGTTCCTAGTCCTCCTGTGCTAAAAAAAAGGGTAAACATTAATGGGAATATACTTCAGAGATGTTTTACTCGTAAAAAATTCTAGGGGTTCCAATAGTTGTGAAAAAAAATTAAATAATTTCATTATGTGATTACCCCCAAACATAATGTGATTTTGCTTCAATTTAAGGTTAGATTTTTGGCAATTTTGTGAATGAAAGATCAAAAGGATAAACGATGGAGATTCATTTTTTATAGACAATTTTGATCATATTTACCATCGTTACCATTAATTCTAAGCATATATACAAAATGTACATTAGGAGCAAAAAAAAACATTTCCATTCTTAAACAATATTTTGAACATATGTTGAAAATGTATCAAACTAAATGCATAGCAACTAAAAAAATCTATCAAAATCTATTTATTTTTAATAGATCTTATTTGTAATTCTTATTTGCGTTTTTTCCTACTGGCAATACAAAGCGTGGTGTGATTCTGGTGATGATCCATTTGGTGTGATTCTATGGAACAGAAACGAAGCTCCTCACCTTCACTAATTCACAAATTCAAGGCAAGTTCCTAAAGATTCCAATTCACCCTTTTATGCGATCTATTTCCCCTCTACATGCTCAATGTGACGATTACTGCAGAGGAATCGCAGACCAAGAGAACAGATGGGAAGGAGTGATGAGAACGAACTGTAGAATCTTACCCATCAATCCTGTGTGAACACTCTCCAAGGACTCACATGTGGTCGGCTTCCGTCTGCCGTGTTTCCAAGTATAGTCACTAAGAACACACACACTCTTGCACATACCCTCACCCCCTGACTCATGGGTGGGCTACAGATGTGCACCGCCAGATGAGCATCACTGTCCCCCTTAATGCCTCATCCCCCTCTCTGTCCCTTCTATTACCTCTCTCTCTCTCTCCTCTTCTTTCTCAGCAGCTCTGGCCTGTACACTATTCTTACATCGTAATCAGGGAACACTTCACTGCGGCCCCTTGAATGTAACATTTAATTAACCCTGCAATTATTGCATCTGGAGCTTATTAACATATCAAATGAGCAACCGCTGGGACGCAAAAAGGAACTGGGGCTCTCGGGAGGCATTGATTACCTTTTCAATGCACAGCTTGCTTCAATATGACTCATTGTGTTTAAAGCAGCCTGTTCTTTTTCCCCTGTGCTCATTTTGTAAAATGTAAATGTGTTTTAGCACATTTTCTCAGCTCATTAGTTTGAGGTTCACGTCAGAAGCGTTCAGAGATGCTGTGGCTGAAGGAGTTGGCGGAGGTGATGCAAATCTTTCTGCAGGTTTGCTGTGTAGGGAGAATATATGAATAATTTCTCGTTTGTTTGTTTGTTGATTAGGTTAGGGCTGATGGGGACGGTTCTGTCTTTAACCTGTCACGCAGACTCTGTGATCTGTTTGATCTGAGCTGTCTGTCATTTCAGAGACTTCCATACTGTATCACTTGTAAAGAAGGGTGGCTTTGCTAACAAAGATTTGACATCCTGGAGAGAGCAGCTCTGCAATTATAGGCTGCATGTTGGGATGTCGCTTACATATTTGAGAGGTTGGTGAGGTGACCATCACTTCTACTGTTGCTCATACTTTGTTCGAATATAACACTGGGTTTTCCATACTGTTACTTCATGTTGATGTAACACAAAATAGATCACAGAGAAGAAAATCATGCGCTGATTATCACAAATATAGATGGATTTTAATCTAACAATAGGTGTTTATTATTTTAGTGGAGTGTCTGCATTAAAGGGATAGTTCACTTTGAAATGAATTTTTGATGTTTTAGCTTACCTCAAGGTCATCCAAGATGTAGGTGTCTTTATTTCCACAGTATCTTCAATTTTGACATTTTTCGGTCAAACCGTTCTTGTCTGTCAGTCATGTAATGGAGGTATATGGGGTCAAAGAGCATGCACAGAGAAGTCAAAATTAAACATGATTTAATGACTTGTAAATGTAAGTACACACTGATGGCCTAAGACACGGAACGAGCGCTTTGAGTGAGAAAACGAACAGTATATATAGTTTTTACCTCTTGTTAACAGCCGTCGAACTGATCTGAATCAGATGTCCAACTGAACCGAACTGAACCGTCTCCAGACGTTACGCCGCGCGTCTACGTCACACATTGTTTACACAGAGATTTCGGGAGTTTTACCTTTCACACAAACTGCTCGTTTCGTGTCTTAGGCCATCAGTGTGTACTTACATTCACGAGTCATTAAATCATGTTTAATTTTGACTTCTCTGTGCATGCTCTTTGAGGTGGACCCCCTAAAACTGCATTATATGACTGACAGACAACACCGGTTTGGCCGAAAAATGTCAAAATTGAAAATGCTGTGGAAACAAAGACACCTACATCTTGGATGCCCTTGAGGTAAGCTACAACACATCAAAAATTAATTTCAAAGTGAACTATCCATTTAAACCACTGGATTTTATTGTTTTACCCTTTTAACATTTTATTGTTTTACAAAAAAACTCATGAAAAGAATATTTGTGTTGTCATTTCCAGTCAAGCTATCTTTTTTAAAGTAATTACCACTTTTATTCAGTAGCCTACATTAAAAGTGGCACTACAGACATTTCTAATTAAAAAAAAGAAGAAACATGAACTATGTGACACTGGAGACTGGAGTAATGGCTGCTGAAAAGTCAGCTTTGCTATTGTAAGAATAAATTATATGTTAAAATGTATTAATATATATTTGTTTAAATATTATTAACTGTAATATTTTACTGTTTTACTGTTATTTTGCCTTGGTGAGCATAAGATACTTCTTTAAATATATGAAATCTTATTGAACCTAAGCTTTTAAATGATAGCTTTGTATTTCTGTGTATTTCTTTGCTGCAACAGGGCACTAAATTTCAAATGATCTATTATTTTTTCAATTACAGCATGTTTGTCTTTGACCTCCAATGTTGTTCTTTGGATCCATGGCTTGGCACAGATGGCTTTAATTGTGATTTTGCAGGCATGATGAGTTCTGCCCTCAGAAAGACAATAAACACTTTGGCACACAATACTATGTGTTTGTGGGTAGCGGAGCATATGGAGAGACTTGCAGTAGTGAAGAGGGGTACCAGGTGCTAAGGTATTGTGATGAAGTCTTTTGTTAACCAATGGACAGCCAATGGAGTCAAAGGCGTACCTTCATGAGCAGTTTTTTCAAAAGATTGCCTTGTCCTTGAGACAAAAAGAGAGGGTGAGAGATTAAGGGGTGAATAATGCAATTATTTCTGAAAGACGGCACCTTTGGAGTCTGGTGAACGTGTGTGTGATATCTCACATATGGAGAGAGGTCTGTTGGCCATGAGCTGAGCTGATGAGAAAACCTGCACAGGTGTGTTTCTACCAATCTCACAGTCCTCAGGGGGTCGGAGACGAACAACAGTGTGTCGTTCATGAGACACCCTTCACCATCTTTCCGCATGTTACACAAATAGCATTTGACTAGGAGCAACCAAAAGCAAAGTTTTCACAGAGTAGCAACATTTACAGTCCTCTATCTATTCCAGCAAACACAGAAAATCCAACTAACATTCCCGTATGGTTCCGATTTGGTAATTTTTTTTTGTGAACCAAACAAGAACTTTCTAGGAACGTTCCCTGTAGGTTATTTCTAGGTTATATTTTTATAACCTAAAGGGAACGTTCCCATAAAGTTTCCAGAGAATTCCCCTAACCTTTAGAATTAGAATTCCCCTAATTCTATTTACGTTAAGAAAACTTTCCCGGATCACCAATTGGGAATGTTCTTGGGAACGTTCTGGAAACCAAAAACTAACTAAGCTTTTAGAGACGTCTGCCTATGTATGGCTTGGTTATTGTTTATGCACATTCAACTGGAATAAGAGAAAGTGTTTTAATATCAAAAATACACAATTATTTTAAGAAAAAAATATTGCGTTTTCCGTCATGTTTACTAGAAACATTTTTGCCATTTCCAGTCTCCTTTTGTGTCGGATTTGTAGGTCCATGTTATTATATTGTCCCCGAATGTGATGTTTGATGCTGTGATGGAAAGTATTGAATCTAACAACACTTTCCTTTCACGGCAGCTCAACAAGCCGCCTTGTGCATGGGAGGTGTGTGGCTTTGTCTAATCTAATTTTGCTTTGCAGCTGCCTTGGTCTCTGACGTCAGCCCTTTGTGCTTCAAAGGCGAATCCACAGAAACTGTGTGACAGGGAAATATGCAAGGAGTTATTCTACAAATAATCTGTGGCCCCAAGCAAATTCATAATTTTCACACTGATACGCTGGAGCCAGTGTCTTTGCACTTAGTGCCTTTTATAGCTTTTTGAAATGTTCCGGCGTTCAGGCACATTGAGTCAGAGGAGACATTTATTCTCATTTGTCATATTAAATGACCAAACTAATCATGCTGGGGAACATCATGGAACATTTGTAACCCTGCAATGGTCAATAAAAGTGTATAAAACAGAAAGTCTCTCCGATTGTTAAGACCCTGATATACTCACAGCAGAGTTTTTGAGTTTTTTTGTTTTGTTCTTCGCTTAGGGGTAAAAAAAGTTTGAAATATGTGGCCAGAGTTACATTGTTAGCAAACAGTGCCAAATAATGGCAGCGGTAAATAAAACAGCAGTTAAGAAAGTATCTGATTATAGCGATGGATATGTTTGCAATAGCTCTACAATTCGGCACTTCAGTCAAGTCAAAGTTCCCTTTTGAGGGAACTCGAACTGCGTTCATACTTCAGAGGCGCTACGCTGAGGGGCATTCTCAGGGAACGAGGGTTACTGTCGTAACCCAAGGACGTTATTCATATACCACTTTATATAGTGTATACAAGGTATACATGTAATCGTCATTTACCAATGGTAGTTTGAAGGTTTTTACAAGCCAGAGTGAACTTTTCTGGTTTCAAACTCCTGAAATGAACTCCAAACAAAGTACTTTTTTCTTTATCAATAAATAGAAATAATTATTAAGTAACAGAACCATTTTGTAATAATTTACTCCCTGTTTTGTGTTTAGGAACAAAGCAAATGGATAACAGCTCTGAAAACCCATTGCATGGTCTGTTTGTGACCTCTCTAAACATTTCTGAATTTCTGCACATCACAAAGTCAGAACAAGGGTGCAGAATGTAACGGTTCAGGAAGTGTTTCCTGTTCTGTGAATCTAGTAGATGTTTAGTGTTCAGTGGAATTCAAGAGCAACATGCACTTTACTGAGATCTGTGTGAAGGTTTCCTGATATGATATGAATATGATCTTCTACTGTTTTAATAAACAACACTGACTTATGGAACAAAACTCGTATTCTTCCGTTTTGAGTTTAGTTAAGGTTTCTCTTATAAAGCTGATTAGCATTATTAAAAGTCATAAAGGACAACATGGCTTTTATATTATATTTCAGTTTAGTGAAGAAAGGTTTATCATCACTAGTGACAAATTCTCATCCAAAAATCATATAATTTATATTTGATCAAAAAATGCGAACCATCTGAATTACAAAGGACATCAGTTTCCATTTAAAATGCTGTTTGCCTGGATTTTGCATAATGATCATCTCTGCTTTGGGCTGGACTTTGAGATCACTGGTCAATAAGGAGAATAATTAAAGGCATTTTAACTTGGAGTTGGGTTACATGTGTCCTTGCTCATTATAGGAGCTTGAACCACTTTCTTGCTTCAATGCTTTCAACCCCTAAGGCAAATAACTGCAGTTAAAGTCAGGGACACTCAGACAACGT